CGAATGCCTTGAGATGGCACATAAGTGTGCACCGAGACGTACGACTAACTTCGGCAGAGGGCCTACTGGCCCGGGATGAGAAGTGAGGTGATGGATTATATGGTTTCCTGTAAGCAGTGCCAACTGATGAAAGGGGACACGACAGGGGCAACCCATCCCATGAAACAATTTCCTGTTTCAGAAATCGGCGAGTTTTGGTCCGTTGACATCAAATGCCCATTTCCGTTGACAACCAGCGAGAACGAATACATCTTCATAATGACCGAACACCTGTCGCGGTGGATTGAGGCGGCGGCCATTGCGGGATTAGTCGAGTCGCTTTGTAGCATACGCTTGGACGGGAGCAGTGAATGATAGAAATCAATGAATATCCAGGAGCGTTCGAGAAGAGGCTGTAAGATCCGCACGGTTTAGGATCTCACAGGACGATTGCGACTATTGGATTGTACGCAGTTCGTAGCCAGTAGTCAATAGGAGCAGACAGACGTGGGGCAGTAGATGATATATCGAAGACTGACAGGAACTGGTTCTACAGAAAAACGGATTAGTGAGCATCATGAATTAAGAAAACGTACAATCAACAATGACGCAATCTGCTCAAAGTATACGCCTCCTTGCCAACGAAATACAGGAAATATGCAGTGAATTTCTTATCGTCCATATCGGATTTTGTGAGACACCGTATGTCGAATCGTTACAAATAATCTTCTACGTCACGCGCAGTTTAATTAACATCTAATGGTTCCACTTCGGCAGGCATGATGAATCGTTCCAATTGCGACGCCAAAATGTGAGAATTGAGTGTCATACATATATCGGTATAACCAGACGAACTAGAAATCCAGAATTCAGCGAAGCGTAACAACCGGCACGTATGTATTCGAATTGGCGAATATGTACAGCATATGGAGTATTGAAACAAGGGAATAATGAATGGAGCAACGAATAGCGTATGAGTCATGTTCATCCCAATTTTGTTCCTCTAAATTCACTTTGCGTCTCTTGAAAAGGGAGATTTGTTGCGGAATTTATAGATTCGGTTTGTAGTATTTGCTTGGATTAGAGCAATGAATGATTGGAGTCCATGTATGTCCAGGGTAGTTCGAGAAGTCGCGTTCAGAAGAAGAGTGATGTCCAGTTTATTTCAAATAAGACGCAAACGAGAGTTTTGCTTCCCTGTTCAATGGTCTGTATCTGGTCAGTTGGCATTTTCTAGTAAATAGCTACACAGCGAAGGCCTTCTTCATTTCACCGGTACAGATGAAATTATTTACAAATGTGACCAGTTATGTATCCAACGAGACCTCTCGCTCGGGTTTTATCGCATTCTCGTACTGGAGGAGTTGAGACGAATACACATGAAATGCATGTGGGAACCTTTAGCAGGGACTGGAAAGTATGTTCGCGGCCGGGTATCACTAGTCAAATAAGGTAATACATGACAATGCAAGTTAAAGCAAGTGTTCAACGAAAATTAGTTGCAGAATCAGGGCTTTTGCGAGAGATACTAATTCGATCCCGGTGAGCATATTTGCAAATGCCCGGGAGCAATATCTAGTTACGCAGGCGACTACTGTTAATAACGATTTTACGACATATTGAAACAAGGTGTATGTAACGTAATCCTATGGGAAACGGTTTTTTATGGAAATCGGTTTTATTTTGTGCTGGGGGCAGAAAGTCAAATTTATTGTCGCTAATGTCATCACATACAAGAATAAAAGTAGAAACTCCAAGCCAATAAATAAAGCAGCTCAAAAGCAAGATGAGCGCGGCTCAACTCATCCATTCCGTCGAAACCACGCGACTGGTATGTGGTTCACTATCCGCGGTGCCTTATTAGCTTGCCAGCTGCAACTGGCGTCGGCCACAGCGGGCAAATGCCTTAGGTAGCATACTCCAGCCATTTGATGGCGCTTGTTGGTTTTTGCCAGAAATTATAAGGTAGGTAACGTAGTTTCTTCCATTTCTATCGTCTATAACTCAGTAGAATTATGCCCTGGGGTTTGGGGCCCTAGATGCACAGATGATTATTCCGCACCACGGTGCTCCTCTGTAATCATCACCATCCAGAGCATCCTCCTGTTCTCACTGACACGGTGCATGCATCTGATATTCACGCATGTGCCTTCAGGCGTGCAGTTCCATCTTTTTTGTGGTGTGCTTTAGACCGGAGATTTTCTCCATAAGGTTTCTAGTCTCTGCTACATTCAGTCACCCGAACCGTGGGCGAACGGCGGAAGTAAAGGTGGTATGTGCCTACTGGGCCGCGAGGTAAAAGTTAAGAAAAAACAAGCTATTTATTGTGGCGCGTCATGTCTGAAAAGTGGCTGGCCAAGTTCGAAGCCATAAAACTGCTCTGAGGCACAGACAAATTGAGTTATAGGATGAAATGTGCTGGCGGCTGGTGGGGGTGTCTATGATCAAAATAGGCCGATTGCGTGTTCCCCTACGTGTTCCCCGATAACTTCCTGACAGCCGTTTATGTTCGTAGCATTTGTACCTTATACCACTCGGCCGTCGTATTCCTGGACAAGCCAAACAGTTAACGCGTAGCGGTGGACCACTCGCTAAGTACGCAACTATGCACAATTGGGTGAACTAGTTACTCATGATGTGGACACTGATCTCTGCCAGCTCCTTCAAAAATACCTTAATTTAAATTTCACATATTGACCTCAAGTCTTCTCAAAGTCCGGAGAGGATGACAATCGTGAGACAAGCAGTCCCTTAGCAACAGTTACCCCTGAATTTAAGTCATCATAATGCTAATCTCGCTTGGAACCTAAGACTTGAATGTGCACCAGAAATTGTGAGCAAAGATCATTTCAAGCACGTTCGCACAGCAGGGCGCTGGTCATGAATCTTTTTCCTGGCATATGTGCAGCAGACAATCCGTTTCCACAGATGTGCAGTAAATACTGCATTTCAACGAGAGGCGCTTTGTTCCACACCAAGATTCCGAAGGAGGCTGTTGACGTTGGATTGATGTGCCATAACCAAAGGAAAAAATTTCTGATGACCCATGCCCAGAGTTACGGATAATGCTTGTAACCCGCGCTGCAGGGACAGCAAAATATGTGCAATAGCCCGGTCCAAATAACGTCTAGCCTTAGAACGCGTGCGTTGCCACCCGCTGCATGGGGGCTGTCTTTTCCAAATCACTGAATAGTGTGACTATGGCCGAATAGGTCAGCTAAGAACAGCAATCATGATGAAAGCACGTAAAGAAACAATGATGTGGAGAAACGTGAAACCGTGACTGAAAGTCGTAGCTTTTGCAGAGGAAAGACAAGGGCTGATACTGCCTATACGATGCGAAAATCGACAGCGCAACCAAGTAGCGAAACACAGTATTTCTGGGGGGCCGCTGAGAGATTGTGCTAAACGCGTGCCGGTTTCGAAAGGATTGGAACTTCTAAATTATTACCTCAGCACTTCACGACGTAAAACCGAAAATAAAAAAATCAAAACCATCAACCTTGCATATTGTACTTTGTGCATCACGTAGAACAAAGGAAGGTTACATAATGCTAGGTTTCGCACACTACTTGGCCCTTCAAAGAAGGTCGAAGCGAACACCTAGATGATCCTCTCATTCGCGAACAATTCCATAAAATATGTTTTAAGGCAAACTTAAGCCTTTTATCACCGACTTTTTGGGCTACGGGAAATTTAAAACACATCCATCTGCCTCTACCATAACAACCAAGGCCATCTCACTGACTTCTGGAGATCTGTCCCGTGATATTAATTCCATGACTTCCGCAATACAGAAGGCTTTCCAGAACAAGATGATTGCCTCCATCGGCCTAGGTGATAATATTACAGCCAACAGAGTCATTCTGTCCAAGCACACCTGCTCGCCTGGCAAACGTTTCGCAAGGCCACAGTAAGCTCGCGGTAAGCCAGCCACATAATTTAGCATTGCTCTCCTAGACCGCCACATCATTCCTGGCACACTACTTTGCCCTTCAAAGAAGGTCGAAGCGAACACCTAGATGATCCTCTCATTCGCGAACAATTCCATAAAATATGTTTTAAGGCAAACTTAAGTCTTTTATCACCGACTTTTTGGGCTACGGGAAATTTAAAACACATCCATCTGCCTCTACCATAACAACCAAGGCCATCTCACTGACTTCTGGAGATCTGTCCCGTGATATTAATTCCATGACTTCCGCAATACAGAAGGCTTTCCAGAACAAGATGATTGCCTCCATCGGCCTAGGTGATAATATTACAGCCAACAGAGTCATTCTGCCCAAGCACACCTGCCCGCCTGGCAAACGTTTCGCAAGGCCACAGTAACCTCGCGGTACGCCAGCCACATAATTTACCATTGCTCTCCTAGACCGCCATATCATTCTTGCTGCTGGTGATGGGAGTCACATTTTTCGGCCTTCCTTCCACAGGAGGCCAAACCATTGATCATCCTTTCCCGAGGCCACCACAGTAGGGGTGATCGCCATCCCGCCCACAGTTTTCGCCACAAACCCTTCAATTTTCCTCCCCCATATTTTTCTTCTTGTCTGATTTGCTCTAATCTGAAGTCTGTGAAAATCTGGAGCATGCTTTCATGAGATAACTCTGTTGACTTTCATATACCCACGCCTAGGCACATCAGCTGCATGTGCCCCTTTAAGACCATGTTGCGCCTTTATATTTTCCTTCAATTCCTGCACCACAAATGAATGAGCGAATTTCGCGCTCCATCCTACTCCACTCTAAATACCATTTCATACAGATCCTGGATAGTCCAGCACAAATACCATCTGTGTTCCTAATCACGTATAGACAATCGCACTGGTTGCGTGCGTGCTATCAGCTTCATAAAATCGCCAGCTGCACTACCAAATTCGAATTTACACACATTGCCACATCAATCCCGTCTGCTGGGAGCGTCTAAAATTTTTGCGTAGACCGCCTACGTCATTCTGCTTCACTGGGAGAGCTTGAATATTGCAGGACCCGAGTCCAATGGCAGGGTAGCGCTCTGGTCAAAGCGTGACCTTGGGGATGTCCACGTTCGGGTTAATCGCGACCTAACCTGTCACAGCTGGATCCATCTAGACTGCTCGTGATAGTTATCGTTCACGACCTCGAAAACGTCCTACGTAACACGTGTTTCCACTGTACCTGGATCTTGACTGATAGGAATCTCTTCTCGCAACCATAAATGGATTTTTATAATGGATTGTTTGGATTTCGGACATCTTCCGTTTGAAATCAGGTCGAAGTTGGCAGAGCTTGAGGTTGAACTTTCCGAAGGTAAAACATGTTGTCTCCGATGTTTAACTCATTTTCATTATTCGTTCGCTTGTTATCTGATCACCGTATTTTTGTTGTTTGGCCACAGGTTTCTAGAAATTGTTCCATGGAGTCGAATTGTAATTTCAAGTCTACCTAGAATACCCATGTTCTATGGCTGATTGCGGTAGAAGTTCTCTAACATCCGATTCGTTCTGTTAGCTTGAGGTCCCAAACCAAACCGATATTCTTTCGGCCTACAGAGGTCTTGAAATACTTGTCGTCTACTACGTGACTTGATCCAGCCAAGGGCGACTCTTGTTTTGATTAGGAGCCTTTCGGAAAGTTTTGTGGCATCCGTGATCCACCTATTCTTTGCAGGTTCTGTCCAGCCCACCTGCAAGCAAAAAGGAAAGTCCTTCGAGGCGCCACAGTGGCACAGTCTATGTCCAAGAATCTGTAGGTGGTAGTTACGTGAACTCCGCCACGGGCAAGATATCCTCCACAATCACCCCAGCACGTTTCATTCAGGCATTAACCATGCACCAAGAGTATGTTGGTTACACCTACAGTTTTGGTAACCTAGAAATAGGCGATCCTGTGGGATGCAGTCGAACGTTACGGGCTTTTACACCACCACTTCGTTCAGAAACCTGGGCATCTACACATAGACCGTAACTGAAATGCACAAAAGCCACTGTCTGCGTGGTTGTGCCCTCTCTCTCACTCCCACTAATCACTGCTTACCAGAATTAGTTTGCTGGCTATACCTTTCACACTTCGTTGCCAGACCACAGAATTTTCACCTTCGTTGCGCACATTCAGCACAAGTTTTGTTGAAAGGGCTCTTCGAGATAGACGATCTCCTGGCATACGGAGTACGTGTTCAAGTCAGCATAAACCATAAATCGTGAATGACATTCTTGTGGGAGAGTTCCTTCTTGAAACCATCTGGTGTACCTCATCATTGCTGATCCGAGTTTCCCACCAAACTCTGCAAATACTTGGGAGGCACCGATGGGCAGACACTGACAGCTTTCATACATTCTCTGTGAGCGGATACTATGTTTGTGACCTATAAGGTTATATAGATCATGATACCGCTGTGTATACTCTGCCGTTCATCATAAGTGTCAGAGGTTGATAAAGATTTGCCCTAAGCTTCCAAAGTTCCAGACATTTCACGGGAACTCATGCAAACTGTTTTCTGCGTCAATTGATGGATCTGCAAGTATATGGTTTTGGTCCGATCACAGCGTCTTGTGGCAACACCTTATAGTTTACATGTGTGAAGCGCATGTCAAACCGTAGAATAATGCTTTTAGGTTATTTAAAGAAGAATCTTTAGGAATCTTGACCTAGGGTGCAGCATCAGTGCCTGTGAGCGTACGCCTTACGGACATTTCAGTGGTGGGCAGTGAAACTTCAAGCAGCACGCAACCAACAAAGTAGTGGAGGAACGGTGGGAGAGGTGAAGAACCTCTTATACCGGGTGTGGTAAATGCTGTATGCGTGGGGACGAGATGGACCAAGTGGTTAGAGCGCGAATTTATCGACCGGAAGGTCCCCGGTTCGAACCCTACCTCTGCCTCGCGACTTCCCCTGTCTAGGCTTGGGCGACCTGGCAGTATCTCAGCCCTCGTGCCTCCTTCGTATGGCATGGCAGCTAGGCACCGAAAAGGTGCTACAGCTGAACGCTTTCCTTCTTTTTCTTTCTGTATGCGTGAATTCGCCCTCAGAAGTTCGCATAAGTTCCATCATGAGAATACAAATTTAGGAGGGACATGTTTTATCGCCAAACACCGCCAAATTTTCTGACGGTCGACAGAGTCAAAAACAGCTCTCTACTTGTGAAAAAAAGGCCGACGTGGGACGTTTAAAAGAGCGACCTTATTCAATAACTTGTCTCAATGCCCTATCTAGTGTCTGATGACCTGGTCACATCTTAGCCCACATGTTTTCTTCGGATGGCAACTAGGCCCCGTAAAGCTGTTACAGCTGAACGACTTAGCCCACATGTTTTCTTCGGATGGCAGCTAGGCCCCGTAAAGCTATTACAGCTGAACGATTATCCTTGTTACTAAGTGTGAAGATGTATCGTCGGCCGGGGTGAAACCAAATTTGATTCCCACGAGTTTGTCCCTTCCAAGAACTTGTCAATCTACGCAAAATAATTCCAGTAACTTGGATACCAAGGCCACCAGACCTATGCCTGATGGTGTTTGTTTGACGTTCTTGAGTGTTCGAACGTTGAAAGCTGCAACATGACTAAGTCCTCTTAAGTCTGGTTAGAGATTATTTTGGTTTATCTTTTGTGCTATAATTCAAGTACAAAACAATGGCTAGAAGACTTATAGATGTGTTGATCTCATTGCGTCCCTCTATAGTTAGGGATGGGTCTGGAAGATGACCGGCGAACGAATAGCTACAAGGGTGAATGATACTCCCCGGTTGCTCAAACCGATGGGGGGGGGAGTTAGTTGAGGTAGCTTACCTTGATCCTTTGATTCAAAGGCCTAATTCGCAAGACAGTGAAAGGATGGCCCCGCAGGTTTTCTAGCATGTGGCGACGTTTTGGATAGCCTGCTTAGGACTTCCATCATTCATGAGTTTCAGCTTTGTCTATGGACCAAAAGTTCACCTCCATTGGTATGTTAGTTCAGATGTAGACATTTCGGTGCGTTGCACGGGAGACCCCATGTTTTTTGCCATTCACCGATAGCAATCGAGTTAGTTTCGTAATCACTGTGTTGACAACGTGGAAGAATGCACAATTCCCAGCTTACGGCCCATGAGTACCCCTGAAGATGGCTGGTGGTTCGCTAAAACATCATTCGGGATCGTTCGGTACACAGACTGACAGACTGACAGAGCTTCAGCGGGTGTTTCCTGCCTTCGAGCTTTAAGCAACGGCCTCTTGAATACGTCGACGAACCTTTCTGCTTGATCATTCGATTGCGAGTGATAGGTGGTAAGTGAACATGGGTTATAGCATGTCGAGTGCTCAACTCGTGGAACTCAGCGGAGGTGAACTGCGAACCGTTGTCTGAGGAGATGGGCTCTTGTAAGCCATGTTGGGTAACACGCAGGGTACTAGATTTTGTTGGAGACGATACTGGAATGATTTCTGGCCACTTGGAAAAAGCGTCAATCAATCAGATATCGCTCCTTTGTAATCAATGTGGACCCAGGACCATGACTTCTCAGGTCGAGGCCAGGGAATCGTTGGTTGATGTGGTGGGTTCTTGGCAGCTTGTTGGCATCGCGAGTAGCGTTTCACAAAATCAGTGGTGTGCTGGTCCATGCGCAGCCAGTAGGCGTAGCTGTGAGCTATTAACTGCGTACAGTCTATTCCTGAATGCCCGGAACGGAAATGACGGGGGACTTGATGGCGTAAAGATTGAGGAATCACGACGTGATCTTCAAACATTAAGCAATTGTTTACGACCGACAATGCATCTCGGCGACGAAGCAGTTGTCGAAGGCAATTCTCTTCGAGGTTCGGAGACCATCGAGTATTCACGAACTGGATCGCCTTGTGAAGCGTCCGATCAACCACGGTAGCTTGTTGAACCTCTGTATTGTCACGGGTAACACGCGAACAAACTGGATGAACTGGGGACCGGACGCGTCCTCGAAAGCAGCCCACGTAATAACGGTGTCTTCCTGAGTTGGCTGATTGCTGATCAGACAATATGATGCATCGGCCGGATCAAAGTCGGTGGTTCGACGATACTGAATATCAAAGTCGTAGCCCAGCATAATAAGTGCCCACCTTTGAAGGCGGTCGGTAGAGTGTGCGGGAAGAAAACATAACCGAAAATAGACCTTAAGGGTTTATGACCGGTAAGTAGGGTGAAACGGTGACCGTACAACAATTTGTGGAAAGCGCCGGACGGCGAACACTAAGGCCAATGCTTTTTTCTGCATCTGTCCATATCGCTCTTGTGCTGGAGTTGGTGATTTCGATGCGTGCATGATGGCCTTCTCCGATCCGTCTGGGAAGACGTGCAGAATGACGGCACCAACTCCTCAAGAAGAGGTACCAGCTCCCATGATGATCAGTAGCTTTGGGTCCTTGTGGGTCAGTAGCGGATCGGAACTGAGTATCGCCTGTAGCCTGCAGAATGCCTCGTATTTTTTTTATCAGGGAACGTCCTCTCCAAGCAGCTGATTTAGTGAGGGTCGAATGTCGTGTAGCGAAGGTAAGAATGCCTAATAATATATGATTAACCCCAAAAGGAACGTAATGTTGTGACATACTTAGGAGGTGGCATCTACTGTATAGCTCGAACGTTCTCCGGGTCAGGATGACGACCAGAGGCGTCAAAGATGAAACCAAGATACTTCACTGTTGTCAAGACCAATTAACACTTTTCAGGACGGAAACGGAGACCATTGTCCTTAATGCGCAGCAAGACGGCATTGATCCGATCAAGAAGCTCTTCGGGTGAACCAGCAACGATCAGCACGTCATCCAGGTATATGACCGCACCTGGAATACCAGAAATATGGTGTCCATCAGCTGCTGGAAATTTTCCATGGTGGTTTTCACGCCAAACAGGAGACGAGTGTATTGATACAACAGCCCGCGGTGTGTTGATAGTCAACAGTGAGTGTTGTGATTCTGGTGCGACTCCAACTTGAAGATGCGCTTCATCAAAGTCGACTTTCGCGAAGAACTTTCCACCGTTCAGAACAGTGAATAGATCGTTGGCACTGAATAGTGGTGCTGCTGGAGAGCTGCATTTAGGCCGGTTGAAAAACTTGCACATATGCGGATGTCATCATTAGGCTTCTTCACTACGACAATCAGCGCTGCCCAGGTGGAGTAAGATACAGAGAACAGAATGCCTTGTTGTCCCGGCCGTTGAAGTTCGGCATCTACCAGTGGGAGGGAAGCGTACGGGACTGGTATCTTTGGGCGGAATACTGGCGTAGCTCCTGGCAGGAGGTGGAGGACTGCTTGTGTCGCAGTGCACTGACCAAAACCGGATTGGAAAACAGCTGGAAATCGCTTGATAAAGTCGGATGCATGATCTAGATGCGCCGTGGGAGACTGAACTGTACTGTAAATGACAAGCGATCGATTCAATCAAGAAGCAATAAGTTCAGCTCAGCCGCCGTTACATAACACGACCCCACGAATGTGGTTCTTCATAAAGACAGCATTGAAACTCACCGGAAAGTTTTAGCTTTCCACCGCAGGCACTGGTAGCAGTTTGGCCGGCATGCCTGATCGGACGTTGTCCAAGCGTACTTCAGAGCTTCTCCGAAACGATAGTATTGTCCGACGCATCGTCTAACTGCAGACTTACTGGATGACAGTTGACGATGGCTGTGGGATACTTTCGGTGACCTGGGGTGTTGATCTGGAAAGTAGTCAGCAAACTTAGAAAGGAGCCAAAATTGTTCGATTTCCGTTTGGGACGGACGCGTGATGACGGCTTTGAAACTCCACAGGCAGTATACAACCGTGACTGACAATACCCATCTTTGTGTCCTACGGACTTACATTGAAGACACCGATGCTGCTCGTGGGGACATAACCTGACGAAGTGCCAAGCTCCACAGTGGCAACATTGTGAAAGTGGTGTCTTCTTTGGGCCTTTATTTTGCTTCGGACCGGAATCGATAGGGTCAAGCTGTTGTGTAGACTAATGGATTGCATGAACTTCAGAACCGCCATGATCCCTAAGTTGGACCATCGTGGTATCATGCTTCAGGTTATGCAATGGTTGACGTTTAAAGGTGATGGCCTGTAGCGTCATTGATGGTCCCTGCTGGATGCGGCTGAGTAGTCGAGTACGGATTTTTGCATCCTTCGGGGATTGCATGAATGTATGCATGTGAAAATCAGCGACTTGAACTGATCTTCCGTTAACCATCCGAGTTTGAACCGTTCGCATTCCCGGTTCACGATGACCGAATAAGTGAGAAAGTTGTCTGCATCACTTTTCACTAGCTTCAGGCATCGATAACGGAATATTAAAAATTGACGTTTCCTCGCGGAATAATCGCAAAAGCGTGTGTACCAATTCGTCAAAATTGAAATCACTTGGGTTTTTTGAAGGATATAGTTGGCGTATTTATCATGCTCTGTGGGTCCAAGTTTGCGGAGCGGGAAAACCTTCCAACTATCATCCTGAATTTACAGGTCGACCCTGAGCAGGTCCTCATTGCGAAGAAACCATGCATCGAACGTTATACCAGCCGAAGTTTCATAGCAAATTCGTTGAAACTGCCAGCGATTCCCTCAACCGACTTTGGGACGCTCGACGTAGCCGAGAATCCAAAGATTTCGTTGATAGTCTCTCCGTAAGCACTTTCATGATTTGCAGTTGTTGGTCAAACATTACTTTGAGTTGATCTGCCTCTATCTTGCGTCGCCAGATATGTTACGATTCGATAACGCAGAAAACAAGCGATAATATGCGCGAACTGTGACAGTATCCTATCCCCAGCTATGTTCCCCATCCCATCTCCTAGCGCAGCCGAATAATAAGACGAAACCTTGGACACAACTTAATGCTCCGGATGACAGGGGATCTATGGAACAGAAATTCGTTAGCACACATAAAGATACATAGATTTTGAGGATATCGATATCCCAAACACAGACAAGAGAGAGCGAATCCCCCCAGTTGTGTGCTGATCATTAACTGTTTCTGTACCAACTTTCAGTTTAAGCTTTAATCTCGCGTAACCTGGACACCACCAACTGCAAGTCCACTGTAGACCCAATCGTATCGCGTAGCTATCAACAACCGATGGAAAACTATAGTTCATCTGCTGAGAAGTATTACACGATGATGAAATTAACCGCATTAGCGTTTGCCATACAGAAAGGCAGAATGTTTACAATCTTTAGATCTCTGGGGAAGTGATCCAGAGACTTGCTTTTTTTTTCTTGGAAGTGTACGTCTTAAGATTCTCATGCATGTTGCAATGACGTGGTGCTGTGAGTTTTCCTCCATTTTGCTAGTGAGGTTGACACTGACTCCAATGACGCTCATGAACTGTAGCTAGGTTTTGCGGACACAGCGAAGTACGGGGGAAATTTAAAAAAATGTCTGTCCCAGATAACAGGTCTGCGGGGGCTGCAAAATGCGAACACTAGTGTACTGGAGGATCGCTTAACTCAGCTGTTACGGCGTGAAGATACTAACCGAAAGCTTCTTGGTTAAATTCCATCCAGGTCGCCCATGTTTAGGCTCAGGCAATCTGCCAGTATATCAGCCTTTGTGCACGACAGAAATGCATTAGTATGGGGGCATAGCCGAACAGTTGTCTTACTCCACAATTTGTGTGCCCTGGTAGATTTGTTTGTATAGTTCTCATCAAAATCCACTGTGGCATCCTCAGATATACCCTCCAGCTTGAAATAACTGGCTTCATTTTATAATATGATAATTCCACTCTCCTCACAGATAATCATGTGTATTTTCTTTGACTTCCAGGTGATATTACGGAGAAAGGCTATCAGAAAAAGAAGGCCAAGCTGCTCGCACCGTATATCGAGAGTACAGGTTAGTTCACGCTTTTCTCATTTTGACCTTTCCAAGTGTGAATCCTTGTATAAAGACCTCAATCAGACGTTGGTCGGTAGTCGTTGATGGATTCGTTATCACTTTTCAGTCCAGATTTTTCGACCGAGTGTTTGGACATGTGAGCCTCTCGAAGTTTATTGGGCTAAAATAATGTCTCTTCCTTCCTGTCGTTCTTAGAATCCCCCTCTCCCTCTTGTCTGTACGGACTATGGGTTTTATGAAGGAACTGGCTCGCTTCATCTAGCTCGGCTTGAAGCCATCAATACCTTTTTTCGTTGTCAAACTACAGGGGGCAGAAGCTTTTCAGCTTGACTAGGTTCACTATTTTGACCCCTTGTACTTCTCTATCCAGTTAGTACTGGATCCAGTTGTTTCCATATGGTGCGTGTCATAGTTAACAGGGCCCTGTGAAGCAGCCAGGTTTATGAATTACATGGCCTAACCTGATACCGGACTGGAGTTCTGTAGAGCTTGTTATCAGTAACAGAAACGGATATTTGAATGCTGCGTACCATAAGTTACATGGGAGCATAATGTGGAATCCCGATTTACGCCCTTATATTCAGCCTTGATTTTAGGAACAGCCTATTTTGGACCTGACGATTTTGTTGAGCATATGTTATCGGATGGCTAGCCTCCCTTTTATGTGTTCTTTCTGTCAGCTGCAATGACTTAGCTACGCGTGCACTTTAGTTACATTCATCGCAAAGCCTATTTCGTGTTGTTGTATGAAGACATTCCTAGAACAGCTGAATCCTCTCAACTACAGAAGTGACTGGTAACTTCAAACAAGGTTGGCTAGGAAACACGTGCTCAAAGGGAGTAAAGTTTCAGACAAATTATTCATTCAGAGGAACCCATGGTTCGAAAAGGTGGTTGTCGTACATTGTTTGGTTATCTTTGTTATTGAACAGTAGACGATGCACAAGATGTTTGAATGTTATTGAGAATGGTGAATGATAACAGCCAATAGAAGGTGCACTCTGTGACCTTGAGCTAGCACGAGTGAATCTGAACTCTTGTCCGAATAGTAAGGAAAGAGAAATGGTTTTTGTTCATTTGGCAAAAACATTCTGTGAGTGCCTGTGTATGGATAATCGTTTCCTCAAGAATTACCTCGTAAATCTTTCAAATGGTTATCTTTTTATTGTGGGTTGACTGAACAGCTAACTGACTGAGTCACGAATGAACTTGGTGCATATCAAGTTATCGAACTGGGATCATCGTCCACATCAGGTAGTTTTGGGTTTGTATGTCATGGAGTAGGTCATTGGTCTCCGAAATTCAATCGTGAACCGGCATACAATTGTGATATGGTTCATCAGGTTGCACTGTGAAACTCCTGCACTGCGTGCCCATCGGATTGAATACACCCTATAGTGACTAGTTTTGACCGATTGTGACAAGTTTTTTTTGGTAAATTTTCTTCGGAAGGAGCTCCACATTCTTTGATGGAAGTGGCTCTGACCAAAAGTTTTCACGTTGCCGTACTCAAAGCCATCAAAAACAAACATTAACCGAGGACACTAATGAGTTTAGTAAATGTTAGACATTCGTTTTACGTTCTTATTTTGTCAAGTAGTTCAACGAACCTTCTCTGAAAGCGTATCTTGCGTCTCCAAAACACCCATTAGGGTTTCTGTCAAGAAACTGCATCCCGATATGGTCCAAGCCATAGAAGTCTCTCCGTCTACTGTTTCAATGTCAGCTGCTCGGAAAGCGGTATCTCTTGTTTTCATTGTCATGGATATTGCTCTGACAGGACTGAAGATGCTCTGTTTTCTCGTGTTCCCATGCAGTCAGATAAGCTGAGTTTGTCAATCAAAATCCATAAGTCTAATTGATATCTTTGCATATGACCCAATGAATCGAAGCAGCGATTTTGCCAATGACACGGAGAAGAACGTTCCAGTCCTCTTCAGATGGCAGAGTGCTGGTGATTAGAGCTGGTGTCGATGCTTCCGGAACCGTACAGATACATCGTGTTTTGAGCGCATCAGTTTTCTTTACAAATGTGCGATTCGTGTTACGTCCCAATCGTAATTAGTTATTCACTCAGGTCGACCACCTAGCAGTAAGTTGCAGACAGTTTGTGTTCAAGACTGTCACCCATTTTGGAACATTTATGGACTCCGGTCGTTCCTCGTTTCGTGCTGTGTTAGGGGTCGATTCCTAGTGGACATTCATCGACAAGACGTTCGTTGCATGCGGATACAACCGTCAGGAAAGTCTATCCTTAACAGATTTATAAACGACTGACGAACGCCAAACAAACCGGTCGACTGAATGAAGTCGCAATTCAATTGAAGTTTGGTTTAACAGTGATCCGCTTCTGTAATACAGGCAAGGAGGTGGGATCCGCTTTACCGAAAGTATGGTTCATCACGATCCTTCAAAAGGACGCTTGGCTTGCAGTTTCAAGGTTGACAGGGAAGTGGTCACTAAAACGTTTTGAGATATGAAAAACGGTGACATCCTTTAATAATTCAAGGGCAAATTCTACTGAAACAAGCATACAGTCACCTATGTTGACTCGAAATATGGCTCCAAAACTCCAAGTTTCATCATATTATTCCATATGGCGGAATATTTCGAATGACGGTTTATCCGATCTCGGGTGCCCAACATAACCATCAACGTAATTCTTTCTTCGCAATGGAAAATGAAGTGTTCTATTTTAACGAACGATGAAGTCAAAACTGAAAACAAACTTTTGGGCAGAAACTAGGCTTCTGGCCATGCTCACAAACCCTTCAGGGAAGATTTGGAGTATACTGGCGATATCCCTCTACGGTGACTGGTGTTCTTTTCGCTATGCTTGGCAGTTTGCCTGCAAACGTTTCGTCACCAGTTGAAGTGACGTCATCAATGCGTAGTAGATTGTGTTGCGTCGCAGTGAAAACCACGACAGCGCTAAACAACAAAGCAACGCTAATCTATTGTGCACTGTTGATATGGTCTCGATTGGTGGCGAAACGTTTGCCCACATCAACCAGCAGAACGTCAGTTATCCATTAAACCTTTACTAGCAACTTTCGTCCTCTGATATGTCATCCTATACCGTTCAGATTCCATCTCGATGCAAAATATACTAAATAAGCTCATCAGTGTTATCATGCGAACTTGCACGCAAAGTCTTTATGTAAGATCGAGTGAATACACCGACAATGCTGGTCATTCCAATAGAATCACATGGTTGTACAAAAATTACTTATCTGGGTAGTTGCTAGAATCGCTGAAGCCCGTTTCTCCTTCCTCCAACTTGGATATCTCCGAGGTCTACATGACAGCGTCCTGCCGGCGATGCGTCTATATGAATCTTAGCCGCTGTTCGTCGTTGACACAGGTTGACTGTTTTAGCTTGATCATCCGTGCCTGTATGTATAACGAACCGTCGCACTGATAATTTTAGAGTGTGGTGAATGGCAGCAAACCAACTGGTTGCCCAAATGTTGCTTGATTCGGCTGTACCAACTAGACAGCCTCGGTCGTGTCCAGTAGTCCGTCACCGCTCCGTGCATTGTTTGTTGGAATATATCGCGACTGGTTTGCGCCTCGCCCCACTATGCCAATAACCGTTGTGCTCTCTTAAAACATATACTTTTCCACCTGTCTAACTGTCTTCGACGAGCTACTTTTGTCCCCACATGTCGAAAATGTGATAGCTTGTCAACTTCCCGCGTACGGCAGTACTCACAAGATCAATGAAAACCCTTGACAGTGCACTTCCAACTTCGCCTTTTCGGAGTGCATCAGGTAGAGCAACTTTCTTTTAATTTCATCAACCCAATTTGATACTTCAATATTAAGCTGGACCTATGTTTTGCGACAATCATTCATTTGCAAATCAACTTGATGTTGACGGGGAGATTCACCTGAAGGTCTTTCTTCTACTATTGAGGTGAAGCTCGGCTAAATCATCCGTCAGCAGCGAGTTAATCCGCATTGAATGTTTACCACACCTTGTTCGTGGTGTAGCGCTTACGTGAGAAACTAAATTTTCCAGTTTGCCTCACCACCTCTTCGCAAGCCAACCATTGACGGTTTAGTCAAATTAACCTTGAACGAAGTCGTCCTTTTCCAGAGAATCTAGAATAAACCTCACATTTAGGTATTTAACGCTTAAGATAGCCTGTTTTTTTGTACCATTCATTCTCCTCTAGGATCGTCTTTTGAGCGTGATCAGTGAGTCTCTTGGAAATTGTATTTTTTTCACCACCACTCAGCCTTAGAGTCAGACCGACGCTGTTTTACTGTATTGTTACTTTTTCTTTCAGTGAACCCCAGTCCGCCGCTCACTTCCACCCCCAACGTTACACAATCCTCATCCGGACTCCACATTCCCTGTGGCGCTGTCCAATTGCCAGGGTTGACTGGAAGTGCGCTTGACCGCCGTCGACTTCAGCTGCGGTCTCCTGCTTCATCCGGAGAGGACGGTTCTATCAGTGGCCCGGATGATAACTCGAATGACTGCGAAAATGGATCTCCTCTCCACCGGCCACAGAATCGTCGCTACATACGAGAAGATGGTCGATATCGATCTGGTATGCTCACCATCCATTTCAAATACCCTTACTGTTTCTCCTGTTCATTTCGGTTGATTCCGAGCAGTCTCACTTGACGTTGATCAAGTTTAGTCCAAAAGGTTTACTACGTGACTTGCTTGGGTAATTGGTACAAGATATTAGTTTATAACCGAATCTAATGACGTTCATTGTTTACTGGACAGTGATTCTACAGAAGTGGCAGTCCTGTGGTACGCCCCAACTGTGTAGTTGATATCCGTATTCCTGTTCAGTTATTTCGACATCTTATACTACCTCTGTTTGAGTATGCCATTGGCAGTGGATCACGTGAGTCGACAACGTTCTTTTCCTAGTGTGGTCGACTGAGCCACTTGCAGTTGCCATGTAGCTGCCAACTGTTTTGCCGTTGAGATATAGTTTGTGTTTCACATAGAGCAGCACTATGCAACTCGTTATAACCTTGTGATGGATTGCTTGCAAGCGGAGTTCGTGGCACATGAGTCCATACAGCTGTGAATTTGGCCTACGAAAATTTGTTCTGAGGTTGCAAGTGGCTGTTGGGGTCACACTTATGTGCTAGAGTGGTCGAGTCTGCTACTAATCAGCTGCTACTAATCAGCTGTCGTCTCAGTCAGGAAGCCTGGTTATCTGTAATTGGTGAAATCCCGTGTCCAGTTGACAGTTCTGATAATTAACAATTTACGGGGTTTCATCCCGATTGGATTTTCATACTAAACAAGCGACTGGTTCCCGATTAGCTGATCCATACGAAGTTTTCCGTCCATGTTGGGGCTGTTGATGCGGCCAATCACACGACCCTTTGTAAGGAAATGACGGAGAGGCTGGTGTTATGGAAATTGCGGTCTCCGTGTTGTAGCCAACTTCTATAGATTCCAGTGATGATGTCTATTCCGATCCGACCAGCGCACTACTAGCCAAAAACACTGCTACCTAAACTTTATGAAAATGAACAGGATATTACACGAATGGTTTGCCTATCAGGCTGAATTTGCTCTGTAGCGAAGCATCGGTGTTCGAACACTGGTGTTATGCTGTCGACAATGGTGATAATGACTCGGCAAACTGTTCTTTACCACTGAGACATGACGCTATCATATGCTTCTGTCAGATTTCACCATCCCACTGAATCGCATAGCCCATTTAGGACGTTTAACTGAAACGATTAGTGGCGAAGTCGTGGCACCCCACGACCTAGTATGGATAACTGGGAAAACTGATGGGACGGGATAGTCACATGTTGAAAGTAAGGAAGTAGTTCGGTGTAGTTGGCCGCGCAGGTTTATGGAATACAACGGTTCCGTTAATGAATGCTTTAGGCTACTGCTGCTGATTGATACTGCATACAGCTACCTGGATCTAGTTTCTTGCCAGAATATAACCTCAGATGGAAGAGTGTTGTACAACAACAGGGCCCAGGATGATCTCGATTGGAACGGCGCTGACGTTTGACTTGCTTTGGCTACTCCATGCACAACGTATCAAATGCACGTTATCTGGCGTGGCAAGGTCGCAGTAGACCATCAATGAGGTGCGGCTCTCCTCCAGATGGACTTCACATTTTTTCGATGCATGGGTTTGGCGTTTCTTCACATGTTTTTTTGCACTTCAACACCGACAAGGACCGTGATGGATCTCGATTGGAACGGCGCTGACGTTTGACTTGCTTTGGCTACTCCATGCACAACGTACCGAATGCACGTTATCTGGCGTGGCACGGTCGCCGTAGGTCTTCAATGAGGTGCTGCTCATATTCAGATGGACTTCACATTATTTTCGATGTATGGGTTTGGCGCACTTCAACACCGACAAGGACCGTGATATAAGAAACTTGAAACAAAACAGAGCCGGGTGAGGTGTCTGGAAATAATCAGGTAATCAGGAAATCCTGAAGTAGCACACATACAACTGTAAAATTGCATTGTTTATAAACGAAGCAATATGGTGCACAAGGGAAGCCAGTTTCTTGCGATTTATTTTGTAAGTCAACTGGTAGAGGTCCTAAAAAGGAACCCAGGTAAAGGGAAGAAATGCCAGGTAGTGATATTTTGTCCGCGATTTTCAGTAGGGCTGTAGAAAATTTGCGCTTATGGAATTCAAGCCTTGGCGGTGTGTTATTCCGAGGTTCCTCCCACAATAAAAGTTAATACAGGTTTCAATAAAATCAGGCTGTTAAGTTCGGACACAAGAGAAGGTTTTAAAGTCCCCGCTTCCTGTCTTAGTGGGACACTGAGTGCGCTGGCGACACTACACCTTCATATTCATGGGCATTCTGCCTCTTCTTTCGATGTCATTTAAGGTGCACATATCTGCTGATTTGAAAATTAAACGTATAAATTAGTTACCCAAGTCGGAAACGCCCTGCGCGAACAAGTTGGATACCGTTAAGGGCAAAGTAGCTATCGTAGTGGCGTCCAACAAGCTGACGCCATCTGGGATAACACAGCCTCGATAGGTGAGCCTGAGTGTAGGATACAGGCCATGTGATTGGTAAGGCACGAACAGCGGAGCCGTTGGGGGTTCCAGCATCTGCTCTCAGTTTAGAGTGAGAGTATGGTCAAGTTGGACCCCGTTCAATGAGCTCACGCAGAATCAACGGGAAAAAGGTCGGAGTTTGGTCTTACTGCCTGGACAAACATATTTTTGGTTATACTGGACGTAGAAATGTGGACAAAACTCGGGTCGGTGTACAGATGAAATTCCACGGAAGTTTGGAGAAGCGTCCGAGTTTGGAGAATAGCCCGAACGTTTAATGACCTTGCAAGAATATGGAAATCGAACTTTAACAGATGGTCTGAGTGGACAAAAGCAGGAGTATCTTTTATTCCATCACACAATCAAGTCGGAAGGAGCAACGAGGGGAATAGCCATTGAATCAGCATCACAGCAGCTATTCAACCACGCAAGTGTTGTATTGAATCATGCTTCGGAGAATGGACAATAAATCATTAGTCTGAATAGAGAAACCATTCTAGCCTTGAGATGTGGAATAAATAGGTGGGACGCCTGCCACCTCGAGCATTTTAGTTGTTTGCATCCTGGGACATATTTGCGAATTTCGACGGGGTAAACCGATAAAATCTTGTTACAGTGATTACAAATTAGTTAGTAGTAAGACAGGGTTTTCAGTTCATTAGAGTGTACCGAGGAATCAACACAGAGCTCATGACAATTGACCGTCTTTGTCAACCAAATGACAGCACGCAGCAGCACAACCGGTGAGATATGTGTTTCTTTTACCAGCACTCTGGTTTCATCATTTGATGATTCTCACGTCGAGTCCATCCTGTAGATTTTTTCCTCATTTTCTTCCAGAAGGCTGTGATCGACCACTTAGCAATGGTAAACGGAACCTTTAAATCCATGCCCATGTATTTTTTCTGACTGAACCAGAGCGATGGTCTTCTCTGCTCTGTTTATTCTGTCTCACTAGACTGGCGGATAATACCTCTAGTCCATTTCTGCATGATCGCATCAATCTGCAAATTTATTTCAAAATCGAGCTGTACTCATGCTGATTTCTTCAATGCCCCACATGAAGAGCACACTGCAGACAGGCGTTTAGCCTGCTTGTTCCGGCCGATTCTGTCCGAGCATGTAGCATGTTTCCTCCCTTGCTTCACGCGAACATCAGCTATCGTGATGCCAAGTGTTCGTTTTTACCACCAACTCTATCTACTCATCGTCCTCAATGCAGTTCTCTCTCCTCCCCCCCCCACTACTTTCCGATCCAACAGACATTCGAGAGGAGGCTGTAAAAGAAGCATTGTCCAGAAACCACCGACAGCGCCCCGAAGCTCTACTACCTAACAAGCGCCGAGAAAATGGGCGTTCATCAGGTGCGGCCACTTACCACGATGATCAGAGTGAGTGTATTGATTCTTTTCTTGTTATTATTGTCCCATCCTGATTGTCCAGTTGTTTTCCTCACAATGTGTCAACGGATTAGGTAGCCCTCTGGTTCTAAACTAGAGTGCAGTGAGCGAGCAAAAATGGTAGACTGACGGTACTCTGCCTAGCAGGTGGAGACAAACAGCTTCTACCAAACCATATTTTAATCAGGGGACGTCAGATTTTGATGTCATCCGCAGAGAGGAGGATATAACATATAAAACGTAGCCCGGCCGAACCATAATCCAACTGTCACTGGAGTGCAAGCAGCTGGGCTGATCGACGATTAGGATTATCAGTCACCAGTCGGGACACACAAGATTCGAGAGGAACGGAATTTCATCTGCCTAATTTAGACGCGCCTAATCCCCTGCGGCATGTTCGGACAACTTTTCTGTTATATTTTCTGGTTATATTCGTCGACTTTTGTGCGGTTTTGATGTCATCCGCAGAGAGGAGGATATAACATATAAAACGTAGCCCGGCCGAACCATAATCCAACTGTCACTGGAGTGCAAGCAGCTGGGCTGATCGACGATTAGGATTATCAGTCACCATTCGGGACACAAGATTCGAGAGGAACGGAATTTCGTCTGCCTAATTTAGACGCGCCTAATCCCCTGCGGCATTGTTCGGACACTTTTCTGTTATATTTTCTGGTTATATTCGTCGACTTTTGTGCGGTAGTCCTTGATGGCGATGATTATGCAACCACAGCAACGGATGAGTAGACTCCTCATCCATTCAAATATTCTATCAATAACTACAGCCGACGGCTCGACTGTGTTGGATCATTAAGTTTGTATAGGTTGGGGTACTATCTTGCTGTAGTTGGACTTCAATGTGACGGTAACCCCGAGGACCACACTTACTAGAGAGGAATCGTACTACAAGGCTTTTCTTGGGTAGTGTTTAGCGCGACGTTAATATGAGTCTATCGAGGTGTTCGAGGACCACACTAGAGAGGAATCGTACTACAAGGCTTTTCTTGGGTAGTGTTTAGCGCGACGTTAATATGAGTCTATCGAGGTGTTTCCTTCCTCCGGCCATACCTTCATATTTGTACAAGCAGCTACGCTACCTTTCCCCGAAGAAGAATGGGTTAAAATACAGACCCTAAAAGACGCACACTCCGATCCCCAAACGGTTGATGGTGACAGCCTGCGCATTATCCAGTAGTGTCGAAAGATCTATAAAATCAAGAGTCCAATGCCGCTCAGAAAGCACCTGCTATGCGCAGTGGCATTAGGAGTCAGGCTTCCAAGCCTTATTACTTGCGCCCTTGGTCTAGGTCAGCCGTCACTGCCATGTGGGTCATAACTTTGAGTCAAAGTCCGGGGTGTGTTGCCCCAAGTAAGCCTCTGTTTTCAGACTGAATGTTCGAAGGTCTCCGTTTTCCCACAAATGGCTCGGACTGTCAAGAGAAAAAGGCAGACGCGTCTCCAATGGCCACGAACCTGAGAACGGTCAGGGATATGGATGAGGGAGAGGCCTGAAGGAGCAACTGCCCCTGTTGCTAAAGGGCAATGCCTTCAAACGCTGCAGCATATAACTCAGTGAGACTTGGCTAGCTTATCAAAGAGGATTGATTCCGGTTATACATTTTACTGGAGTGCAACAATAAACGGAAGGTGACGTGAACTCGGTATTGGATTCTCGAAGGCAGATAACATGAATTAGAAATTTATAGATTAACCGAGGTGCTTCAGTTCGAGAGTGTTGGTCATCTGGTTCATCTGGTTTGCTACACTCGTCAATTTTTGTGGGGAATGTGAGAGGTGCATCCCAAAAGAGTTTTTCCATAAGCATGAGGCTCCCACCTCTTGTGTGCGTGATCGGATGGACCTATGCAACTTAATTAATGAAATGTTCGTATATTGCTAATCTGTCGTTTTACACTTTAGCAACCCGGCAGTATCTCTGTCCTTATGTTTCCTTCCGTTGGCACGGCAACTAGGCACCGAAAGGGTGTTACAGCCAAACGATTTTTTCTACTTTGGCACGAAGCGACTGCTTGCAAGCTGTATAGGATTTATCATGTAGCTTACAATTTAGAAGAGGTCAGGAACTGACCTCGCAGTCTGACATGCGGTTTCGACCGTTCCTACTTCTTAACCAGAGAGATTCATCATTCCGTTTCACGGTAGCTTCACATGCTCTTACTAGATGAGCACCTCAACTCCAAAGCTTGTCACCGAACACTTGGTAGTCATTTTTGGATTGAATGCTGCAGCATTTATGGTCATTTTCAAGGTAGCACAAAGATGAGAGTGTGAACTGTCCATGCGAGTTTATTCCAAATTTGTTGAGTATTCCTTTATCGGTTATATCAGCCGTGAACCGAGTGAAAACTATGACCAAACATCAGTTTTGAGTGTCTGCCTTTCCCACAATTGAGTGGGGTTGAGACCCATCACCGACTCAATCATTAAGAGCTTGAAGTAGCTCAGTTTACCATGTCTAATTAGTTAGCTACTTCGTCCTTCGCCGGCTCTTGGGCGACCTGACACTGTCTGTGTTCTCGTGCTTCCTTCCCATGATACTATCCACTAAATAGGTTTTATTATCAGGCAGTTCACAGTTACATACTATTGCTCCCTCACGCACTACCGTTGCTTTCTAACACAGGAAATCTAGCGCCACGCAAACGTGTGGCAATCGATAGGAAAAAGAGTGAATTCTGACAGTAGAACTGGCGTTTGCTGTCCTCCTA